GATTTATGCACGGCGACGAGTATTTCGCCGTAATTCGGCACGCCGTAATCGAATCCCCACCCGGTGATTGATTTAACGAGAGTATTTCCTAGGAAATAAAGAAAAGCAGTTTCACTGCGACATCGTCGATAAAACGAGCATGTGGATGGGGGTCGTGTTATGCGAACCGTTATTTCGTTAAATTTCGATAATCAATTTTCCTTTTCCGACACGTCCATTGTGAAATAAACGTCCCTTCGAATCCAGTTGACAGTCGACGAGAGAGAGAGTGTGAGTTGAGAAGAGCACACTACTCCATCGGTCGTTTGAAAGAAAATTGGAAATATTTTGACGAGGAATTTATCGTGTATAATATATCGTTATCAACCCTCTGTTATCTCTTCTGTCGAGGGTGAATCTCAGCGAGGAGCGAATGTATACAGGTAAGTCTTCCAGTGTGGGCCCTCGTTTTTATTGGCATCGCGCGGCGCTGGTAATTAATAATACCGCGATGTCTACCGTACATCGGCCGTGATTTATGGGAGCGTAATGAAGCCTGTTCCCCGCAGGAGCCTCGAGATCCACGAGGATATACGCGGTCGAAGGATCATAGGTAGGGTGAAGGAGGAACGGTTTCTCCTCAGGTGCAATAACGCGTGTCGGGCTAAGAAGGGAGATCTCCATCTGGCGAACCTGTCTGACGCTGTAAAACGTGTATTACGCGTCCTGAACTACTTAGTTGTATTTTCTCTACGAAAATCACGCACTTAGATTTCTCAATCTCGAGAAACAAGAAACACGCGTGTCTGCATAAATTAACACTTTGCCGGCCGCTGATTTGTCGCATAGAATTTACGCTATGTGATATTTTCGCTATCCTTTGTACATGCGGTATGGTTATTATTAAAAAAGGCACTAAAATAAGTGTTACATACTTTTTATTGCATATTTTTATATCTTTAAATTATTACTCGTATCATTTACAAAAAAAATTCTGGGTTTAATATTTTACTGTTGTATGGTAAATTTCGAAACATTTTCCTGCATGCGAAGGTACTTTACAGGATGAACACATATATGAAGTGGAACTTCTTTTTTTTGCGGTAGAACAAACTTTGCAAGCCCTTCGCGGGGTTTCAATTCTTCCCTTGCCAATAATACGTATTATGGTGTGTTTCCTCATATCCGCAGAAAGCCCGTCCAGTGGATCATGCCTCGGCGATCTAATATTGCATTGAACAGGTGGCCCTGACTCCAGCACCGCTTCATTTACGCCAATCAAAGCTGCGAAAGACTACCTCTGAGACAAACAGAACAGAAAGAATGTCGAGAAAAGACAATCGGGACAGTTAAAACAGAAGCACAGTGGAAACATCGTAGCCGCGCTGAACCGAAGTCACGCGTACGTGACAGCGGCCGCCAAAGTGTTAAGTAGAATAAAACGCGAAAGTACAGTTGGTGGAAGAAATATCGAATTAAAATCAAGGCTAATTCAGGTTTCCGTCGATATGCTCGAACGTGAAAATTTCCGGCATAGACTGTACCTCGGGTCGAGGATAATAAAAGAAAAATGGCGAGTGATAATTCGACTGACAAGGAGATCGTACGAAGGTCTTGTCCACGTGACACGAAACAAGGCAGCGACGCTTCGAAGGAAGCATCCCTCCTCCTGGGTGGGGAAACAGTCTGTAGAAATTGGTTTGACGAAAATTTATGCAGGGGTCGAATGGCCGGACACGACATCCACGGAGTAAAAGGTACGCCGTGGCGGGTTGTTTTATATTCCGTGGTTGGGTAGCACGCAGCCCCTTTCCTTCTTTTCCGGATGGCTCCCGTTAAAAATTTACAACGGAACGTTGGTGCAATCGACGTGTCCCTTCTTCCCCTCCGAATAATACCGGAGAGATGATGCGACGTACATCTCGAGAAACGTTGTAAAAGTTTCAGCCTGGTGGGATTGGCCGATTCGCTTCTCGGTAGAAATCGAGCGAGAGGTGTTCAAAAATTCACAAACCACGATGATTTCTAAGCTGGACGAAACTCCTCGAAAACTGTTCGTGAAATGCTAATAGATCGACTGTCTTTGGTGTACATATAAAGTAGATGTTCAGAAGTATTGGAACATCCCTTATACTCGTACAGAATGTATTACCCCATTTAAATTACATTTCCTCGACAAAGTTAGTGTCATACTGGTGATTTTGCAATAACTTTTCGATAACTTTGCGATAAAGTTCAGTAGGTCTTTAAGATCTTCGATACTAAGGGATACTCTTCAAAGCGTTAAATTGAAAGGTGAATATTTCAGCGAAAAGTAAATGTACATAATTATCGAGTAAATTTGTACGATAACGCTGTTAAATAACACGGCTCTTTGGCCAGCAAGAAAATTTACATCTTCGAAAACGGAAGGCGTTCCCCTCGACTCTAAAAAAGTCATCTCTCGTAGAACGAGTTCCACCTCGTGGAGGTAGAAAGAGAGAGAGACTTTTTACAGAGTTGTCCCGCAATTTCCCCGGAACAAACTTGCCCGTAATGGACCCCGTATATCATACTTATTCCGCATGAAATAACAATTAAGCGCATTAATTAACAATAAACGAGGATTTCAGCGAGCAGTGTGTCGCTATCGTGCTCCTCGACCGACGCGTTCAGAGTTAAACTACCCCCGGCGTCGTACTGAGAATACAGCCGGAAAGAAACGACCCTCATCGAGCGGCTCGCGACACTTTTAACGCGCGATGCAACCACATTTATCGCCCTGGGACACGAAATTCACCGCAAACATCGTCCTCTCTAATTGCGTGTACTTTTATTCCTGCGTATCTACCAAACAGAAAACCGGCGTTTCTACGAAAACAACCCCAACTGGCAACCTCCAACTTCCCACTCTAATTTCCCTATTCTCACAGGGCGCCAGAAGAAATGGTAAATTGCTCGCGTTCCTTGCAATTAAATAATCACACACTCCGACAAATTCTTCTCGAACGAGAGAAGTTCTACGAAATTACCGAAATCGACCCCGAGAGTGGCGAAGGAGGTACGAAATTACCGGTCTGGTAGAATCGACACTCGTATACAGAGAAATAACAGAGGCCTCGGTGCTCGGTGGAAATAAAAGGGCCAAAGCAACGTTCCAACTTCTCGATATCAATCTCGCCGACGAGTAGAAGCAAGGGGTTGCGGTATAATATCGCGTACATATCAGAGCGACGATATGGCGTCGGTCAGGCTGTCGTTACGAGTGGTAAAAACAAAAGCAAAAGATGCGAACGTTGCTTTGGGGGAGAGAGGGTTGAAAGCAGAAGAAGCGGCCGCGAAACGACTCCGTTTGCCTGGAGCCTCGTGACGCCCTCGTTATCGACGTCCCTCTACGCAGAACTCGTTTGCTTAATTGCCATGATTACCAAACGTCGCCGCCGCCGCCGCCGCCGACGTCGGAGAGGGCCCACCAGGAGTTTCTCCGTCGAGCTCGCCTCTCCTTTCCAGCCTACGTGATACGTGACTACACCGCGAACGTAACATTCGGGAATGTTAGCTGCCCTACAGACGATGGAACGAGGCCGACTACCTGGAGCCACACGCGCCACTTCCTCGAGCCAGCGACCACGGGGCTGAAGAATAATCGACGCGATGCAGAAAGAGAAAAGAACGAACCGTGGGGATCACGACATAGCGTTACGCTTGCTCTTGTTCTTTTTACGGTCTTTGATCGACGCTACGCGACGACTTTTTAAATTTCCTGTTACGGGGGCAAAAAGGTAAATTCTACGAGGCGTTAAAATGTAAATTATCCTACACTCCCGCTGGTGAACCAGTAACGTTAACCGAGGATAGTTATCGAGGATTGAAATTTTTTTTTAGATGCACCGATATTTTTTGGATATTTTTTTTCGTCTCGTTGTCACGAATAGATTTTCGAGTGTTCAATTTCCGTGCAGCGTCCTTTATAGCGTGACTAAACTATCGGTACCCTACAGCGATATTTTCCATCGATTTTCCACGGTGGAAACGCGTTTTCTTCCTCGAGTTTAATTATAATTTAATATCCGCTGAATCGTACGAAACGTAAACGCCGTAAGTAAAATAGCGCGACGCTATCAGAGCGTGTCACAGCGTTGAATTTATTAAATTCGCGCGTCGATATGTTTGTATGTACGTATAATTGCGTGCCGCGTGCTTTGTGCTAGGAGGTCCCGGTGACAAAAAGCTTTTCGAAACGTGCGCACGCACGGGAATCTCGTCGCAAAACAACCGAATAACGAACGGCGCCGATAATGAACAAAATAGAACTGGTCGAGGGCTCGTTGTTGCTGGTGAACAATTGTCGGCGAAGCGCGGTGTTTCGACTATCCACGAAACGAAAATAAAGAAATAACCTGGGTAGGTATGCCTCACGCGACGTAATCGAGCAAATCTACCCAACTTACCCCCGGCGTGACAATAAAAGAAACCGATACTTTCACCCGCCGAAACTTTCTACATCAACTAAAAACTACTCTCTGTTCGACCGAAATCATCAATTTTTACACGCTGAGAAATAACAGGATTTGCATGGGAAAAAATGCGCGTAAACAATATTGCAGAGTGAAACATTCTCTGTGCAACTTGAAATCCGAAGGTAAGCGATAAAACCGGTGTCGTCACGGCAACAGCATAAAATGATGCGATAAAAGTGCGCGGCTATGTAAA